GAAAAATACGATAAAAATCATTGTAACAACATTTTATTATGTACATTCATTGTACATCTAGGTAGCAGTTTTGCCGTTTTCGGAAGAGTACAACCACAAACGAAGTGACAGACGGAGCGGCTCGAAAACTTTGGTGACTAACCTGCTGTTGCAATTTTTCAGTGTACCACATGGCAACACCACTACTACTGGATTGTACCACATGGCAACACTACTACTAGATTGAACTAGCATTTTCACCAAATGTACTAGAATGTTTTGGTTCTATCTCTTTCACTCTACTCAAAACTGAAATGCATAAAAAAATGACAAAATGATACGCACTCTTTGCACACTGTCAAAGAATCATTGTACACAAAATCAACTTTGTTCAAATCAAAACAAAAAAACTAACCCATCTGGTGGATGATGGCAAAAGCTTCCAAGAAAATTCTATTACAGTGAACCACATTATTTAAATGGATTTCTTCACCAGTAAGTCGTCTGTCACTTCGTTTGTGGTACAACATTACGAGGGGCACGCAATAACCTTTAACTCCTACGCAAGCCTTTTTAAGTACAATAATTACAGTTAACTACATGATTAATTACTTTAATTACGAGCGTCGGAAACTTTTTGATTTAATTACTTTTAAGTACAAATTTCAGCTTTAATTACAAGTCGCATAAATTAAGTACATTAACTCCATTCATGTACAGCGAGAAATGTACTTAAATTACCCCCAGCGTACCGTTAGACCCTTTCGTTATAGGCCCATGAAACAAAAATTTCACAGGTCCTTTTGCTACGTAGGATAATGTCATCTCTGATAGATTGTATCGCTACCGCTGTTATGACTTCAGAATAGACCCTATAAACATACACAGAAAAACAAAAGTACCCACCGCTTGGGTTTTTTAAACTCAAATTTGAGTTATTTGACCTCAGCCCGTTTCATTTTCTCTCGCTATTGTTGTCAAAAATAGAACGAAAGATTCGACTCAACCGTCTAGTTCCGTACGAGAAGCCAAAATTGAGTGATATGCGATATACCCAAGTTTGAGTTAATTGAACTTAATTTTGGGTAGAAAAAATTGAAAATAACTTAGCGATGGGTAATTTTTTTGCCGTGCTTAAATGCAAACTACTTTGAGCCGGTTTACCCAAATTTGGCTTATTGTACGGAACATGGGAGATGAGTGAAAAGAACTTAATTTTGGGTTGTTTTGAATTTCTGTGTACATCTCCCGGGACCTACGAGGAAATCTACGTTGGTGATTGGAAATGTAGTTGGATATCAATACTGCCGAGGTGTTGGCAGGGCAAAAACCTATACCCTGGATCACGCCCCTGCCAAAGCACCGGAGAATGCGACAATGAAAGGAATGTTTGTTTGTGCTAACTGGTTCAACCTAAGAAATAACTAATTTAATTTGGTGGATGTGAACGAAAGCAGAATTACAATAGAAAATTATGTTAACCTTTGCGTGCCTAACGTCTAAATTTGCATAGATTTCAAAATTCAATTAGCTCTAAAACATAATTTCTAAATATTTTAATTACAACAAATTGCATTTTGTCGGAAATCCATTGAAATTTCTGAATACATCTGTAAATATTTTGATCAATTCATGGTTCCGTAGTTATTTTGGTTCACGTTGGGGTCACTTTTGGTCGGCATTCGGCTTTATTGTTCTGTAATAAGTATACACACGATGAACATCACGTTTTTTTCTCTCAAACGATGTAATTGGAACAGTGGCAGCTATTCCGACGGTTCACAATCACATTGGGCATCCCGGAAATGTTCCGGTACCCCGGGGAAGTGGCCAATTCTCAACAAGAACCAAAACCCATCATGCGACATATCAAACTTTATGATTTTACAAATTTTGGCCAGTAATGGCCTTATTGAGAGTTCATGGTCACACTAGCCCTCCCAGACATGTTCCGGTGCCCCCGGGGAAGTGGCCAATTCTCAACAAGAACCAAAACACATCATGCGACACATCAAACAACATGATTTTACAAATCTTGGCCAGTAATGGCCTTATTGAAAGTCCATGGTCACACTAGCACCTCCGGGAATGTTCTGGTGCCCCCGGGGAAGTGGCCAATTCTCAACAAGAACAAAACCCATCGTGTGACATATCAAACTTCATGATTTTACCAATCTTGGCCAGTAATGGTCTTATTGAGAGTCCATGGTCACACTAGCCCTCCCAGACATGTTCCGGTGCCCCCGGAGAAGTGGAAAATTCTCAACAAGAACCAAAACCCATCGTGTGACATATCAAAATTCATGATTTTCCAAATTTTGGCTGGTAATGGCCTTAATGAGACTCGACGGTCACACTAGCCCTCTCGGGCATGTACCTGTGTCCCCGGGCAAGTGACCGATTCTCCACAAGAACCAAAACACGTCATGCGACATATCAAACTTTATGATTCTGCTGAACTCGGCCAGTAATGGTCTTTTTGAGAGCCCACGATCCCATTGGCCCTCCCTGGCATGTTCCGGTGCTCCCGGGTATATTTTCAATTATCGACAAGAACCAAAATCCTTCGTGCGACATATCAAACTTCATGATTCTGCACGGCTAATAATGGTCTTAGACAGTCCACAGTCCCATTAACATTAACGTTCGCCATTTGCAAGCGTATCCCGCGGTCACTTTATCTAGTGTATCCACTCCTCCTTTCAATCTGTTGTACAACTGTACTATTTTCAGCTTGATTAAATTTTTCTTCAATCAGTCCTACATTTAAAAAAAATACAGTAAAATCACAATGTAGATATATAGTTATATATATTTTTTGTGGATTTGTTTTCCGTCGGTCTTGTTTTCCGTGCTGAGCACCAATGCTACCGACGTCAGGTACCTGATCAAGAGGGAACGGTAACAAAGGCGCAGAAGGCGGTAGTTCTTTCGCTGACCATTTCGCAGGATCAGATGTTTTTTTTAGGCCGATAAGGGGATGTTCAGAAACTACGTAGACATTTTTTTTTTATTATTGTCCCCCCTCCCCCTGCGTAGACAATTATTCATACATTTTTTTTTTAAATTTGTATGGTCCGTGCATAATTGTCACCCCCCTCCTCCCCCCCTAAGAGAAATAGCTGAACGGACACTGGAGCTGGTGAATACTTTGGACATTCACACGCTGCCCTACTTCCAGGAAAAAATCGCAGCTAGTATGCAATTGTCTTCCCAGTACGGATAACTTGAGTGTGTCAAGTTGATCGGTAACGATCATTTCGTGTCCTGTGCACATGGGACTCAGCGTTTCCTATCGGTTTGGAGTTCTGTCCATAGTATTGTTTAGTTGATCCATGAAAAGACGAACAATGGGGAGGCGAATTTCATAAGTGCTATCGCGTCAATTCTGAATAGGAATGTGATCATATGATGGCGATAATACAAATAAAAGCACACAATTGGTTTGAATCATCTTAGTGTCTGCAACCAAAACCTGATTATAATTTTTTTTTTTTTTGTTAATGAACTCTGCCTTAAATCTGTTATTTATTATTAGTATAATAATATTAAGTTTGAAAGAAATATTGAAATAATCGAAGAATTCATGCGTAACATCAGAAAATTAATGCAAATGCAAATACATCTTCCATTGAATCTGTTAGTTCAGGCACAAGCTAATATCATCATCTGTCGAACTGTGCTGCGAGCATGGCTTATCATTCGAACATTTTTTGATCGGGAGGAAATTTGCTCGAGGCATTGCTTGAATTTAAGAAAATGTAACATTTGAAGACTTGTCGTCACAACTAAGTGATTCCCATTTCATTTGTATGGCAATCACGGCTCTCATTATGAGTATCACTTCCTTTTCACTGTATATTGTCGCTAGAATTGTAAACCGATATAACCCACTCGCGACAATTGATTTTATTCTAGTTCTGCATTAAAGCGCATTATTCAACGAATACAGTGCACTAGATACGACATTATGTTGAACGTACAAAACGAAAGTGGAATCGATTGTCGCGAGTGGATTATTTCAGTTTCCAACTCTAGTATGGTTCTCCAATAAATTTAGTATAAGTATTAGCAGAATTGGTCATGTTAGTCTAGTAAAACATTAATATGCGTATCTCAGGGGGTTAAGAAGAGTTTTTGAATAAATTGATTCATTCGAGTATGTGTTAAGGGTTTTCTTCAATTTTTTTTAAATTGTTCAAGAATAAGGATTTGGGTACGTTTTTAATTACATTTGTGTAACTTTAATTACATTAATTACAGAAAATTAATTTTTAATTACATTAATTACGTAATCAAATTGAAGTACGTGTTTTTATTACAGTAATTACACTGGCACTGCTTTGATTACGTGAAATTAAATTTAATTACATGAAATACTTAATTTTCATTTTTAATTACTTAATTACATAGTTGAACACCTTGTACTTTAAATCCAACGCAGTCAAAAAGGCTATTGCGTGCCCCTCGCAACATTATAACAATCATTTTTATTGTCGACAATAAATATTAATGTTAGAGCATTGTTTCCACTGAAAATTTCACTGTAATTTTTTTTTCGGGACAAGCTTCCAAGAAAATTCTATTACAGTGAACCACATTATTTTAATGGATTTCTTCGCCAGTTAGTCGTCTGTCACTTCGTTTGTGCTTCTAGTCTATGGTTTAATTGGGGGCAAAATATGCAATATTGGGCTAGGCAAATTGTCGAGCAAATTGTTCCATTGGTTTCATGTAAAGAGCCTGAATTTATAAAGAGGCGACATCTTATTCATTTGACAGGTCTTCTGCTCGATTGGAATGACTTTCCCTATGACTTTGACAGATAATCGATTGTTCCAATTTTGACATGTCTTTATAAATTCAGGCTCTTTAGTTTCATCAATATGTGTTTTCAATGAAAACATAATGAAAACTTGCATGAACTCTTGTTTCAGTGTCGCACACGCACCGAATCTGCAGAAAATCCTGCTGGCACCCTTGCCTTTGACATTTATTCAATATTCATGGCTGTTCACCGGCGGTAGCCGCGTTTTGTGTTTATTTTCTCGTTTACAAATCTAATAAAAAAATAGTAGTGTAGATTCACCTATTGGAAAAATAGTATCTGTCGTTAAATACTGTACAAATCATGTGGTCGAACGAGATACATTTAGCTTTAAAAAACGTCGTGGAAATCCATCATCAAGAGGAACGACACAGCAGAAGCACCGACAGCTCTCTAGAAGATGCAGCGGCGGCTCCACAAGGAAGTGAGTTAATTTTTGGGCAAATTTTGTTTCTTTTTTCGAATGGTGCAAATGTTTGGTTTTCTATCTAGGTATCGGAGGATTTTTCAGAGATGGATCGTTAGGCTGGAATGCCAGGGGATCATTACTTGAGGTTTTTTGTACCAAAAGTGGCGCAAAACTGGTGTCCCATAGTTTTGATCAAGATTCTAAGTAGGTTTATTTTTGTAATTACCCTGTTTTAAATTTGCATTTTAATTTGTTATGTTCTTTCACAGAACTCGAAATTGTGTCATTTGTAGTGCCGAAGAAATGCAGCTTAATGAGACCAGCTGCTGTGTTGTGGCAGTGGTAATTCAACTTGAAAGTGATTCGAGTGTGGTAACCTTGTTGACTGTGCAGGGATCTCGAATCTTGGGACGTATTGACGTCAATGAAAAGCTGACCTGCTTGAAACCGATCAGCAAATTGTCGTACAGCAGGGGTCGAATAGCCGGTTATAATGGATGTCTAGCGGTTGGCACTGCGAGTGGAAAGGTTTTGCTCATCGATGCTTGTTTAAAATTCGAGGATAACCGTAAGTTTAGCTATGGCGTACTTTTCATTTCAATTTCATTAATTTGGTATATTTCAGTTATATTCGGACGACGTTTAGTGATGAACAAACTACAAAAAAACCAATGTCACATAGAGTTTTCCAGCATCGATATCGAGCAGATTGCAGCGATTCATGCGTTAGTAAGGGATAGGGATGTTTATTTCGGTTTGCAGTTGGATACGGTAGGAGAAGAAGACAGTCCAGTGATAAGCTTGATCGATCTGCCTGCGTTGATGGCTATTGCTGTGGGTTTTGCGGATGGTCGAATCGTTATATATGACCTTCTGGAACTACGCATCATTCATGTGACTTATCCGGCTGTGGAAGATTCTCCGGTGGTCAGCATGAATTTAGTAGAACCAACTGATGATCCCAAAGCTTGTGTCTATATTTGGGCGTTCCACGCCGGTGAAGATGGGGCGTTTGCTGTCATGCATACCCTAATGTACGAAGAGAAATATGTTGAATCACATGGCCACGTTTACGAGGGGTTCATTTCCTGTAGTCCACGTTTAACAATCCCATGTCATGATAAGGGAAGTTTTCCTCTCAATGTGCAGTCCATCATGAAAACCGTGAGCCAGGAGGAAGAGGTTCTGACCCTGTGCGTGTTAAGTTGGGTCGGATCGGATAAATCAACCAACATCGTAGTGTTTGATCTAAATCAGTGGTATAAGGCAGAAATGCCCCATACTTGTAACTGGCGACACGATCTAAATCACACCGTTGTGTTTAGTATTAAGGATTTTGCTGTAAATGTTTGTTTAGTAACGGATTCCTTGGTTCCGTTCAATTCTATTCAGCGACCAGAGGAGCATTTCTATCCAAATTCTTTGAGTTTTGGTGAGTATTTGTTACCTAATTGATTTTTTTTTGATTGAAAATCATCAATATTTTTCTTCCAGATATTATTGCGTTAAACAACGATAATTGCACTCGATATCACTGGGCAGGATTGCAAAATAAAATCCTAGACTATTTTGAAAAAAGCGGTTCTGCATGCATCATGGATCCGGGCAAAATTTACAACATAATGCTGCGAGCTGCCCTAATGCCTCAATTCGTGGATTACAACTTCACCTCGGAGACTCCTTTAGATGTCCAGCGAGAGTATTTGCTTTCAGTAGCCTTGGAATATAATTCCTATTCCTTGCTACAGGAATGTGCCATAAATTGGGCTGATGGGAGTCATCTGGGCCAGAACCCGGAGGAGGGCGTTTCGCTGTCCACACTGACCGAGTGGATCTGGAGTCGTGCCAAGGCATTGAAAGAGCTAAGCAATAGCATGTGTATTCCGTTGTTCGATTTATCTGGCAGGAGGATTGATTGTGGCACGCAGAAAACCTTGCTGCACTGTTCTCGACAGCTGCGGCAGCTCACCAAGCTGTACGATGTAATTTTGACGAAATGCAAGCAGTACATTCCTAGCAAAGGTGAGACGTTTTTAAATGCAAATTTGGTTTCAATTTCCCACTAGCTTTTTGATTTTTTCTTAGTTTTAAAAAATCTTCAATCTCAACGAAACTCGATTCAACTGGCAGCCGATTATCAAGAAGTCGTCCAATGGTTACTGAATGTAGGGCTACTGCCAGAGGGGAACATCGACGGTGTAAACTTGTCGGACGAGTTTCTGCTGGTACCGTTTCCATATCAAGCGATTTGTTCCTACTATGCGTCTCAAAGAACCATGCTGCATGATAAACGTCCCGAGAAGGGAAATCCAGCGAGCGTAGAAGAGCTCAGTTGTAAATATTTATTCATCGATAACTTCATAGAACGTGAGTTTCCAAATGATGTTTTGAGAAAGATGTGGATCGAGAACAATTCCTCCGGTGTGTACCCGCCAAATTCGATGCAAAACCTGCTGAGAGCTTTGCTGGTGCCGAACATCAGTGCAGAGGTGAAATACGTTTTGCTGTGCTACACATTCATGGATATGACAGCCGTGCTCGGCGAAGGAAGGTAAGAATTATAGATTTTCTTCTATCGAAGTCACTTAGACGTCAACGCGAGGTTTAAATCATAGGTATTTCGCGTTTGAAAGTCACAAGAATGCAATCCCAATGTGCGTCAGAATCACAATTGCTGCACGCAATTAATAGAATGCAATGTTAGTAATTAATTCATTCAGTTGCTCTTTTAAACGATTTAACGTAACTTTGTTGCTATCAAATATGTTATTGATTTAAACGAAGTTAGTAGGTAGGGTTCGTTGCATTAGGATTAGGACCTTGCTCAGTGATGCGATCGTGGTTTTGGTATATTATATACTTTTCGAATACCTCCGGCATAGCGCGGGGATATTTAATGCATTTATATGCTAACTAAAATTTTCTGTAAGCAAAAACGGTCGTCACTAGGCCAGCGAGTCCCTTACATCACAGCAAACCATTATCAACAACGATCGTTCAAACCCGGTGACACGCAGCTATGGAGCTGTTCATTAACTACATAGGCCGATTTTGAGATGTTTTAGAATCCCCCTCCCCCCGCGTAGACAATCGTCCACACACATTTTTTTTTAATTTGTATGGGCCGTAGACATGCGCAAAACCACAGTTTGTCAGTCATTGATGAGATTTGATTTTTTATATATTTTGCCAAAACTGCCTATGGCACATTTTGGCTTCACGTTCCGTCATGCATCTGCACTCCACTCCACTCCAGATGGTACGCAATACCTTCCGTTAGAAAATACCAAGGACGCGTTGTTCCTCCCCGAGCATAGTTCAGTTCTCGTGACTGTAGAGAACCACCGGTCTAATCAGCGTCTTGTAGAGATAATCAACCTCGTACGGCGGCCTATTTTATTCGACCGGAGCGTCCTCCGGAGTCCAAAGTAGGCACGATTCCCTGCTATAATGCGTTTTTGAATTTTTCTTCTGGTATCATTTACGGTGGTCGCCAGTGAGCCCAAATACACAAACTCCTGTTCTATGCGTTGATGGATAGTCCAATCCGCCTACACACTAAGATTTTGTTTTCGTGTTCGGTAATTTTTACCGAAATCAGAACAGCTGAACGTTCGGTAAAACTTTGACCTTCATTTTCAAGTCAATTGAATTAAAAAAATAATTTAAATAAACATGTTCAACGTTGCTTAAACGATTAAATATTGTCATTTTAGTGTAGATTTAGTTTGAAAGTAACTGAAAAGCAATTGAATTAAATTGCATAAATTTTACCGAACAGTTCAGCAGTTCAGCTGTTCAGATTTCGGTAAAAATTACCGAAGTCGGCGAAAATTTCTAAGTGTGTAGCTTCAGCCTTCAGTGTGATGTACGTTTCCGTCATCGTCTCAAAGCTCTTCTTATCACACCTTCTGACGCAATGTTAATTAGCAGACATGAAAGTCTATCACCTTGTCGTAACCAGGCTTGCCAAAAGCTCCATCAAGAATCATCAATAAGCTGAGCTCCAGCATATTTTGATGATGAAATAATTTGCTCTCACGGATCTATACTTGATGCTCAAGCTGGGCTCTTGCCAACCCGCATCTTGGTGAGGGATGCGGAGCTCGTTCTCGTATGTACATCGACTCTGCCTGCCGAGCAGAAATTTTTACTTCGTTATGCGCTCGAGCAAAGCAGTAAACTTGGAGCTTCGTGATGTATTCGTAGAGAGCTTGGCTCTTGATGCCTTCTCCCAGCGCGCATGAATGAGTGATTTTGTATTGTATTCGAGAAAGAAGTGCACAACCAAGAAATAAAAAAAAAAAACATTATGGAACGTATGCATTCGCCAAAGTGGCAATTGTATTCATAGGGTAGCTGTCTATATTCTATTCTATATATTCGTGTTGAAAATAAATGGACTTGTTTTTGTTTGGTTCGACAACTATGCGAACAAAATAAACATATTTTGAAATAATTTTAGTAGGTATTTGAGTGCAGGGTAAAGCAAAATAAAACGGATTGCAAAGAAATGAAAATAAAAAAGATCTTCGGGCAGGGCATCTAAATCCCTGCTTATTTTGGGGTGCGATTAAGAGTGAGCTGTGGGTATTGGGGTCCTTGTTCGGGATGCGGGGACCCGTCGGGGTGAAATTGATACAGTGGGGTTTCGCCGGTTTTGTCAAGTTGGTTTCCGGATCCATATTCGGTTTTGCCACTTTCGGGCCGTTTTCTGTTAAGTTGAGCAAAGTAGGGGCAACTTTTTCCGAATGTAAACAAGAAGAAAATAAAAAGGCATGACACGCTAAAAACCGTTTACCCAAATCCTATATTGTTGAACTAAACATGCTTTTGAATTTAATTCAAACATAAAATATTTAGTTTAAAACATACTTTCAATTTACTTTGCATAATTCATATGTTTAGAGTTGCGTTTTGTTTTAAATTTTTTCTCACAAGATTTACACTTTAATTCACCATCTGCTGAATCTTCTAACTTGCTGAAGAACAGAGCCGTATCAAAATTTGATTTGTGTTTCTGCGACAACTTGCAACCAAGTGAAGGCTATGAATTCTCGATGAACATTTCAAATGGTCCTATCTGCTTTGATCGATTCTCTTCATCGAATTTCTCTTTTCATAACCACTGTTATGCAAACAAATTTCGCGCTAATTCAACCACATAGTTTGATAAAGGAGGTTCTTATCTAGCGTCAAAAACGTCAAATACAACAGGAAAAGGTTTTTCAGCTGAGTTATTGACGAAAGAGAAAGTCGATGAAGAGAATCGATCAATGCAGATAAGACCTTTTGAAATGTTCTCTAGAATTAATCGATTCAGACCTCACCTGATTTAAACAACGCTAGACCAACAATTGAAATAGGCGGAACAACAAAATGTAAACAATGGCTTAAAACATAAATTCTTCGAAAATCAAAGCACATCCAAACAATCTAACGCCATCATCTGATAGAGTATCATCAAATGGAAATTTTAGTTTACGTGTTAGTGTTTTGATTCTCAAGAAGTTTGTGTTTAAAGCCATTGCTTACGTTTGGTTGTTCTGCCTATTTCAATTGTTGGTCCAGAAAGGTTTCCGAGCTACCGTGTTTGCAGCGAGGGTAGCGAATTGAATGAATGAACATGTTAAAAGGCAACGGGAGAATACGGAGAATACGAAGACAGCACCAAGGGATAATCCATAAACGGAGTAATTAGTGCCTTTACTAGTTTTTCCCTCGTACATTCTAAATCAGAAATATAATTTCGTTTATCCACTCATAAAGCACTTAGCGGAAAAAGCGATCAAAGATTTTTGTGACTGAGTTTGAGTAACCCAAAAAGTGGTCCCCGAGTTAAAAAAAAATCATCAATCTCTAGAAATGTTACGTTTTCTGGGAATGATCCTATAGGCCATTGTATAATATTGAATGGAAGAACCGTGCATAAATCAAAGGCCGTGCGAGCTCTCTCCGAATACATAACGAAGCTCTATATTTACGGTTTCACCGAGTCCATCCCGAAGTTCAAAATGTTGTTTGGTAAGCAGAGCCGATGTAAATCACGCCTCACTCAAGAACGAACCCCGCATCACTCATCGTGACGCGTGTTTGTGGAAGTCCAGCTTGAGCATCGAGCTCTTTTGCGCTCTTTGGATTTGACACCATTGCTCTTTATATGTGAGGGATGAACTAGCTCACGATGAATGAGCATCTATACGGCATAATCTGAGTTCGAGGAGTTTAGGCAAGCCTGGTTATGGCCATAGATAAATACTGCTCGATAAAATGGATGAAGTGAATAAGGGCAACAATTGGGTAGTGTGTAATAATTGGCAAATCATCCTATTTTTACCTGTTAAAATATGTTAATTTTAACTGCTTACATGAAATTTGGGTGAAAACTACTGGAAAACTGGTAAGTTTTACGTGATACTTCGTTTTGTATAAAATGCTTTTCACGTTATTTGTACGTGAATGGAATAATAAAACGTATTGTTGATAATAATAATCGATAATTTGCGCAGAAGCGCCCATTGCTCTAAATATGATATCGCCCAATGCACAATGAATAAAAGGGAGTCGAGTTGTTGTGAACGAGAAAAACAAACGTGCTTTTTATTAGCCCTAGTTTCACTCCCGAATTCCCGAGTATTGTAGACATTTTTGGTCCTAATTTCGAACCGGATTACCCCCGGGAGTGTTCTCCGCGCGTAGTGGCCGGAAAAAGTTGAGAAGATCGTATTGATCCTGCGGGAAATGCGATTTCGTGTTCGCGCATGGCAAAGAGCTGCATCCGGACGCGATTTTCATTGTGTTTGAGGTTCCTAACCTCAATTCGTTCGCTTCCACAACGAGTGTGGAACGCATCGACTTTCGCGGAAGTCCGGTCTGTGGCAGAGTGAGAAGAAGCACCGACTTCCGTGAAAGCCGGTCGGACATTTTGTGTGAGTGAAAAAGCACCACCCTCCGTGGGACTGGTCGAACATTAGTGAGAGAAAGGCACCGGTTGGACTGGAAGCCGGTCGAACAGAGTGAGAAGTGAGAAGCTTGCACCGCTCGAAGCGCGGTCGAAGTGAGAAGAAAAAGTGTAAACAAAGTGAGCTGAGATGACCGAAGAAAATGAATTTTTGTATACACCGGTGGGAAGAGGTAGAGGAGGTGTTCTACATTCCCCGGTGGACGAGCAGAAGAAGAAACAAGAGCAACGTCGGCAGCAATCGGTGGCGGAAATGAAGATACAAGCTCTGATGGCTAGACGGGACGCCGTGGTTGCGAAGCTCCAGCGTGTAAAGGATATGTTGGGCCAGGCTGCGAACAACAGTGTTTACCATTTGGAAACGTATTTGCGACGTGTGGATTCGTGCTATGACGAATATAACACCATCCAGAACGAGGTGTACTCGGAGTTTCCCGACCAACGATTGCAGCAAGAGGAGTATTTCATCGATTTTGAAATCGGCTACGAGGAGCTACGAGTTGAACTTTGCCAGGCAATCGAAGGCCTACGGAAGCAGAACGATCCCACTAAGCAGGCAGTAGCAGAAATCGTCCAACCTTATCAGCAAC